GGTATATCTTAAAATTTGTATGAAGTATCAAATATAAAGAGTAATGACTCAGTAATTCATGGTGTATCAGATTATCAAAAAGCTATTACAACAGCAACAGAATATCATACCAGTATTATTTCAATTAAAATATATAATATTTAACACAAGATTTAAAATGTAATCCACTTTCTAATGCTAATGGACAAAATATGCATTTTCATTCCTTTTTTTGACTATCTGTTAAGAAAAATCAAATTATTAGTTTTTTACTTTCGACATAAGAGATATAACCATATAAAAATAAGCATTACTAAACTATTTATCATTATTGCAGTGATAATAATGTAACCCCTTTATTTACTTTCGTATGCTTAATTATTGACTTATTTTCTAAAACAATTATACTATATATTAATATCCTAAAAAATAAGTATGAAATATAGAAAGAATAAATGGATAAAATATTTATAAGGTTAATATAAATTTATATATCTAGTAGATCTAATCATGTGTTAAATAGTTTCACCAATTACATCATTGTGTTATAATATACCATGATTCTATAAAATGCAAATATTTTTAAATATACTAAAATCATTGAACATTGTTATATTGCTATAAAAGGATCTTTTTGATAAATCTTTTTCAAGCAGACCGTAGAACTTTATAGGGACTTGAACATTCACTTCACTATTCCACCAGCTTAATATGTCAAAATTGCTTGTGATAATCTCAATTACATCCTTAATTAGAAACCAAAGATACAAACAGTGAATGATATTAGTATAGTACTTTCATTAAGACTAATATAATAGTATCATAAACGTGTTGCTAAGCTATCTAAAATTTCACTTGAAACTGTATTTTTATGAAATTGGTTATACTTTTTGTTAATAATTATCTGGTCTGATTCATTTTAGCATTTTGCCTGACGAAATTCTACAGATTGACAACACATTCCACTTGTTTTGCATGTAGCGATCAACGGTACAATAATCGATTTGAAAATCATTGCACCTTTGTATGAAATAATCTTATAAAAATCTCTGGAAATTCAACCGGAATGACAAAGTGCAAAAATACATTTCACTATCTTGGAAAAACTAGTGCGTGCAGTAATCTGGCAATCATCCGTTCAGAGCGACAGCCGAACCTTCCAGACGCACAAGGTTACTACACACAATCATGAACACACTGGATACTCACTTCTTGATCTTTGCCTTTGTTCTTAAAAACCATCATTCGGTTCTTGTTTAGATTTTCCGCCGCCATTTTTTCAATAACCAATCCTTCGAGCTCGCGTATATTGATATGTACCGGCACCCGGATACCTATGTTACCGTGAAAAATCCCGTACCCGTGTAATTGCGGCCTATTTACTTCGATAACTGCATGCCGTCGCGCGACAACCTTAATGTACGTCAATATGCAATATCATGCATAACACTCGCTCTTCTAATCGCGACCGCCACACGATGTTCTCTGTGGTCACGTTTTCTCAACACGAACGCAACGTTTCAACCGTTCTGAAAAGAACGTGGATCAAACCTGAACAAGGTGGCGCTACGGAAACTTGTGCACAGACTTAGGATACGTATGCAGACCTCTCGTTGCATAGGAATTTTTGTCCACCATTCTGTATTACCGATATCGACAAAAATGCTCTGTTACTCATTCTCAGAAAAACGAGAAAATTCGATACGTAATTTTTTCGACATTTTTTAACTATATCATTGAAGTATTGTGCGAATTATACACGTAGGATAATTTAAAGTGCGGTTTGATACTTTCCGGGATTATTAATATTTCTATAGTACTACATGCTGTAAACATGATTTTTGTCATTTATATATATCGTATGCATTTCTTTCCAAATTTATATTAAACATTCATAGTATAAATGCAGTATACATAATATTTTATTTCTACTAACAATCCTAAGTTCGTGAATTATCGGTAACGTTGAACACATCAAAATAGTGCAGATCTGAATGTATCCTATGTAACTTGTGGTTTCTATTTCTTCTAATACTTATTCTTTTTGTTTTCTTTAGCTTTAGTTTGAAAAATCATTTTTGTAGCAATAAAATTAAAATAGTTTACTTTTATGTGTTCTATTTTAACCGAAGTTATTTAATACGAATAACTTTATTAAAAAAATAATATATAACTCAAAATAAATCCAAAAATTGCTTTTAAAAAATAGTAGTAATCACTGTGGATATGATACGCAACATCCTCGATCAAAATAATTGTCAAAATCTTTTCCATTTCTTCTTTCTAGAACATACTACCCGCAAGAAATGGCATTCCTATGTATATTGCAATATTCTGTGGAATAGATCACAGCGCCATATGCATATGTGGTATTTTACCAATGAATTGTTTGAAGTTTTGGTTATAGTGTGACAAGATTGATTTTAGTACAATAATCATAACAGTGCAAAAATTAGATTATTATAAATGTATATGTAATACAAGTACGCATAAAGAGCGTGCAACGATATTTGACTTAATGAAACCGTCTCCATTTTCTTGTTATGGGTTAGTTCTCAAAGCGCCACCTGATAATTTACAAATGAAAAATATAAATTACGTTCAATTATTTAAATGTGCTATATAAATATTACATTTTTATTGTTTTTATTTTATTCTGTGAGTATTTTTGTAATGCATTGAAATGATTTCTCTTAAATAAAGTACAAAAGGACGTAAATTATTACTGTTAATTTAAACATGATACATTGAGCTAATTATGTAAATCTCGCAAGTTCTAAGGCGTAAATTATTATTGTTAATTTAAACATGATACATTGAGCTAATTATGTAAATCTCGCAAGTTCTAAGGCGGTGCCCTAGAAATAAATCGACGAAGGGAAGGTGCGACTTATTTAATTACATATTGGTGATAGATAGGGTAACAAATCCAGTAACAAATAATTTGTTTAACAAAGTAATTTTACAGAGGCGAAACTTCTGTCGAAATTATTAATCTTAATGTTCTCTATATTAAATGACCTTGAAATACAATATTGAGTCACTATTACTACGTTTTTTTATAGCTGATATTTCTATCACTTTTTACGGACCGCTAGATGGAAGTTAAAGTAAAAATTTTATGTGAAAGGTCAATCTAAAAATATAGCAAAATTTGAAATGTAATATTGTGAGAAACTATTTAAGAGATACACATTTCATTTAATTTGAAATATTACTTTTATGGGATACAAACTTCTGAACACACACACACACTTAACATCGCGAAAGTTTTGTAGCTATATTCATGGAACAGAACTTTCGTTCGCATGCGCACTAGAAATTGGTTCTCAGGAAAGCTTCGGAATTCGTTTCTGTGAGAAACACTCACGTTTGTTAGATCACGCAGAGTATGACAGTAATAATAATTCAAATGAAATGAAAATGATTTCTTGTGTTAAAGTAGTCAATATTACAGAATAAAAGCTTCTTGTTTTAAACTTAAAATCTTGCGAAAAACACTTCGGTTGATTTACTGTATTACACCCATTCTTGTTTGCCATACATATTCAATCTTAAAATTGGCATTTATAAAGAATATTTTTATTTTATAGTAAAATTAATAACACATCTCATATAAAATATACATGACTTACATCAGTAGTAGGAATGAAAGCATTTATTTATGTGTTAGAGTGTTTACATTAAAATCTTTTTAACCATTTGTTGCTCTATGTAATAAGTACTTACATTTTATTACAATACGTTTAAAAACGAATCACTACAATAAAAAGTCATAATGACTGAATACAAAATTCATGCACTCTTTAAAGCAATGCATAATATTTATAATAAATTTGAATCTAATGTAAAATAATAATTGAAGAAAGAAATGGAAAAATATTAAGAATTTTACTTCGAAAAGCTGTTTAAAGTTCTTAAAGATTAATCAATATATTGATGGTACCTCTGTTGAATATTTATTTTGTTTGGTACCTTTTCCACTACATGTATAGTTCTGATATTATACTTTTGTCGAGAAGACTGAATCACAGCTCCACAATAACTTCTAAGACTAAAGTAATATCCCAGTTCGACAGATGTTAACAAAGAATATCCTAAAAATAAACTTGCAATACCGCCAAATGATACTAATAAATCTAAATAACCAAATCTCATCTCTCTTTTATAAAATGCCACTGGCCAGAATTTAAATATAATTCTATTACTGTTTTTATACGATTTGAGTATTGCCTTCACAGAATATGACGTATGATCACAAGAAAGCCAACAATTAGAATCACTTATGTCTACAGTTGTATAGTTTAAGCAAGAGTACTTTGAAAGTTTACATTCTTCTTTCTTAATGAATGCTAAAAACCATGGTACACATTTACAATGGGTTAACAACTGATTAGTAAAATATTTTATCTCACAATTAGTGAAACTTTCATCGTGTTTGTAATTACATTTACGTTGTCGAAGACTTAAGTAATGTATATCAGAAGTAACATATGTCATTTCAACACTAAATTCAATATCAATTGGAAAGTAAGCTTTTACTAATGGTCTCTCTTCTGGTATTGGGCTTGAATCAATATTTTGGGTGATGTAAAGCCTGCAATTTGAAATATTTTTACTTCTATATATATATGTGTGTGTACATATTCTGATTAATAATATAATACAACAGTTACTTTCAATTATTTTCAAACATTTCTGAATTTTTCGTATTAAAGGTCACATCAAAGATACAGAATTTAGGTCGTCAAATTAATCTTGACCTGAACTATCACGTTATGATGATAAAAATATGCAATCTCATTTAAAAGAACATCAATGACCTTAAAATCTCGGAAAATATGACCTTGAAACAAATTTGTATTTTTCATAATATTCACCTCTTCGAACCAAACGTATTTTTTTATTATTAAAAATTACGGAGATATTCAAGACGATCAAGTTATGTTATTAATCCGATAGTATAGTAGCATTTGTCAACTTACATTATTAAGTTAGCTCTTAGATAATAAACAATAAGAGAATCATCTGAGAAATATTTAATCAGGGATAGTAGGAAGGATTATTTAAATAGAATAGCATTTTACTATAATGGACATGTACAGACTGATTTTGAAATGGTAATAGGTAATAGGTTTTTTGTTTTATGTTATCGAGGAATATATTATATTTTATATTATATATTTTATATATATTATATATCAATATATTATTTATGTTATAATATCGAGGAAAATTAAGTTTTCATTTGATGCATTTAGCGCGAAAATATTTTTGAGATTTATGAGTTAATACATGATATTTACAGAAATGTTAAGTAATGTAAAGATGAAAATTTATATTGTAAATAGTAAAATTACCTCCAAGGATAGTATGAACTTTTTATTTCAAACTCAAGCTCTCTTATTGCATCCTTTATTCCTACAGGGTCCAAAGTATTCAATTTGCAACATGCACCCACAGCAACAACAGCTTTTGTGAATAGTGTGCTACATGATTTATTTAACCCTCTAAATAAGAAATATAATTAAAATTATTGTAAAAAAAATCTAGTATGATTAAAAATATATAAGTATAACTCTTGTAGTAGAATATAGTATTTATTTCCCCTTCATCGATACTAAAATAATTTAAAAAATAATGGTGCTTACTTGTAATTACAGTTGGTCATCACATCGCCGCAGTTGGGAGCCATCGTTTCAAAATCAGCCGAAAAGTCTTTTTTCTTTTGGTAAACTGTGTCATACATTTTTGAATCGAGATCCTTTCCCCACCTCCAATTATATAATTGTTCATACATACGTATTTCATCCTATATGTAAGAAATAATAATAGTTTACGCGAAATAATTAAAAAAATCAATATATTCTAGAATATTCCAAATACCATGAACATTCACGCGCAATAAATTTACTATTTATTTATAAATTTTCTTTTATAGTCTATCTTATCAATAATTTAAATTCCAAACCAAATGAAAAACTGTCATAGGAAACTTTCAAGTAAGAGTCAATAAATGTGAAATTACTGAACTTATACATCAGATATTGAAACTTATCTTAAACTTAACATTAACTTATAAAAAAAAGTTGAAATAAATTACATTTCCACGTGTGTTACTCTATATATTTATTTCATTTAATATCCACGCATTTATTTCTTATTTTCTATATTAGTTATGTTATAATTTTATATGATAAGAAAAATTATGAACGAGAATGAATTTTACTGTTAATCCCTCCAAGTCTTCTAAAATAATATTACCTCATCTGCTTTCAAATTTAAAATTTAAAATTAAGTAAATACCTACTTTACCGATAGCTGGCTTTAACAACTCCATTTCATACGTTTTTTTCTATATAAACGTAAACTTTAGCCATCAATTAAAAAGAAAAAATAATAAAATATTTTTAATTACATCCAAATTTTGAACGAGTTAATACAACAACACAAGTTGTTGATATATAACTGTTTAACGAATAAAATTATTGAGACTAGTATATTTACAAATAAGTTTACCTTGTTCAATTGCATGTAATTTAGTTGAGACCAGTCGAAGCAAACGAAGATTCGAGGAAAATCAATGTAAGCATCCTCCGTCAATACATCCAATCCAGTTATAGTTGGTTCTGTTTGAAATTTACCCCAAATTATAGCAATTGTAATAACAGTTGCTACCACTGATGCAACCGTTAAAAAGAACCACGTTATTCTGTACATAAATAAATAAATAAATTTATTTATTTACAAAAACTTCAAACTTAACGACACACATAATTAAAAGACTATAAAAATTCGTGAATCGAACAATAATTTTTAATTTGTCCGATAACGTTGGATACATACAAATTCAATAAAAGTTTATAGTAAAGCACACCAAAATAATTTTTCAAAACATTCATTGCCTCAATTTCAGTAATGGCGAAAACGTAGTATAACAAATTAAAAATTTTTAAAATAGTTATATGGACGAACAATTATAGAATTGTAAAATTACCTTTCCCATTTGGGCCGCGTAGGGTCTGCAGCATACGGAACACCATGCAAACTGTTCTCCAAAAAATATTCCTTCGATCGACGTTTTACACTGGAACGTAATTCTCTTAACGACGGTGTGTAATTATACTTCATATCGAGGGCAACTTAATGACGTGATTTACAAGAATCAACTGTTTCGCTCTCTCAAAACAGATTTCTCGTAATAGTGCTAAAAGCTGAATCAATACACATTCTGGGATTGCATGTTCAACGCAAACTTACATGTTATATGCATTACGTATACAATTAATTTATCAGCTTAGACAATGCAATAGATTAACATAAATATTACATTATATATAGATCGAAATAGAGATTTCAATATACAGTGTGTTTCAAAAGAAGATATTTTTAATAACAAGAAATATGTAGGCCCAGAGGTGCCTCTAGAGTGCAAAGGGTTGAAGGAGGCAAGATAACGGTGAAAACAGAAATAAAATAAAGTTTATCAGAGTGATATCGAAAGTGTTAGGCTGTCCTATATGCAAGGAGCTACAGATAATTATTCGTTCGGGTATTGTCTTCCGACTATAGGTTTTTCCAGTTGCATCTCGTCGTTTAAGAATCGGCCACCGCTCGTGGAAACACAAACACTCCTCATCCTCGTGTCAGCTTCTTTATTATTTTAGACCATCCCTCTTACGACCACCATCTGCATGCATACCGGCGTCGTTCCGGTCTTTCGGTACCTAAGAAAATCGACGATCAGCAAGTTGAATGGGCGTAAACCGTGCTCTTGATGTCTTCTTTGGATCTGATTTCGTTTAAGGAGTCTTCCCCTTTTCGAAGCCGAAGAACACGCAGTCATTGCATTCCATTCCCAAATGCAATTTCCTTTAAAGGGTGGGTTTTCACATCCGTTTCCCACGTGTCACGCATCTTTTCGAATTAATCCAGATGTATTATTCGAAACATAAGAAAAAATGAAAATAATTATTCGTATTAGTAGATGCTCATTTTAAATAGGATATGTATAATTTAATATACGTAGATTTTCACTTGCAAAGCTTTGTAACTGTAAAATCAAAGTATACGGGAATTTTGTAATGTCATTCCGATTGCTTTCCTTTTAAACCAGCGTAATTCTAACAGGTTACCGATTAGTAACTTTGGTTACGTAACAAAATGCCAGTACGGATTTCTTTAAAATATTAATTGATTAAAAAAAAAAATGATTTCTTCTTTGCTAATAAACTGGTCAGACGATATCAACATTTCTAAATTCTGAATTGAATAGTTTGCGGTATGAAATGTTTGTTTCCTTACAATAGATCAAGTGTTAAAAATTTTCGGTAACACAATAATTCGCAGTTTCGGTTTTTGCGCGTCGACTAGCAGCACGTCGATGTGATACAACAATAAATCGCTACTGAAGGGAACGAAGAAGAATCGGCAATTCCTTTTGTTAGGGATCGTCTGACGCGCGGGTGAGAAGATCCTTCGAGGAAAAAGAAGCGGCGCTATTCTTGCGTCCAGGTGTGAGCCTGTAACGCCAGTGTAAATATACAACACTTATGCCATTCCAACGAAGCCTCTTCGAAAACTATTAACGTATCCTCCTTCGTAGTGGTTCTGTCGGTGATTTTTTTTTGTTCCCGACCCATTTCTCTTTCAATTGGAGCAAAGTTTTCGTCCTTTGACGGCATCGGGAGCTGGCCGGCGCGTTTAAAGAGTTAATCAGGTACCAGCGATGCCGCACATTAGATAAAATCTTTCCGTTTCTGACCAGAGCTAATGATAACTAGATCTTTATGCGAATTCAAATTTTTGAGAACATGGTCAAGAAAATAGAATTATGATAAATAATAAATCTTTCAGTAAGTTACAGTTTCTGTGTGATGGGAGCATCGTACTCAAATTTATCAAATGTTCCAAAATAGAACGTAGAAATCAAGTTTCTATTTGAGTCTTGTTTACTTCGTATGGATCTTAATATGAATTTTAAAGTAGAATTATACAAGTTGCAAAAGTTCTGATACAAAATTCGATTAATGGAAGTTACGATGACTATATGCTTTTATTTCAAATTATGGTAACTGCTATTATAATTGCAGTGACATAAAATTTTAGAATTGCTACGTCCTATCACACACTGTGTTCATTGTAATTTTATATGCAGCAGTGTTTATTATGTATATAGCATATAAATTAGATTTCGAAGCTCGTTATGCATCTGGCAGCTAATGTTGCTGGCAATGTTGGTGGAGGAGGAATAGTAGATTAATATTTATTGTGTGTCACCGATTACAGTAACAATTGTTGGATGGAACGGATCTCTTTGTGCAATAGAGTACCACAAGTCTTCGAAACTTTATTTCATCTTTGTGCTGTGATTTTGTTGTCGTTCGTAGTGTGTGGACGAAAAACGAAGGAAATGATCGTGTGATTCGGTATGAAGAAAAACATAATATACCACTGGTAATATCACTGGTCGAATCGCTTATTTAATAATCTAATTTCGAAATTAAATAAAGTGAATGCCTGAAAATTATTAACTAAAAAAATTATAATTATAATTCTACCTGAGGATAATTACAAATGAAAACAATTTAAAAGAACTTCTAATAAAGTTCAAACTTTATAACAATCAATTACATATGATTATAATTATTACATATGTATTTCGTGCTATTGTTAAGCTATAGATACTTCAAAATATATCCAAGAAAAGCTACTTATTTAAAAAAAATGGAATGGTCTTCTTTAAAGAAAATCTTTTTGTTTAGTTAATTCATTTAAAATTTTGCGAATGGTGGTGATTGAAATACACGTATTTCCTGTAAATGTTTTTCTATAAATAAATGGTGGGTTTGAAACTTAATATTACAAAAATATTATTAATATACAAAATCAGTGTCATTGTTAGTTGTTATTATTTACTTCTACATACATTTAATATTATACAAGATTATGTCTCGTTTCGGCCAAATATTAGGAAATTCATGCCTTATCCGTTGTGTTTTCATATTCCGCGCTTTAATATCATAAGCTATATCATGAGTATTTATGTCATAAATTCTCTCAAAAGGAATCCAAAAAATGATTTGTAAAGTGGGAAACAATGATAAAAAGACAATGAATAATATATGAGCGATTCAAAACAAATGCAAATGGTTGATTTACATTCGTTTTTTCCGAGACTCACTTGGAATGATGAATAACGTAAAACGGAACGTTAATTTTTACGTTGCGCTGATTAAACGAGATTATACGAATGTCCATGATGGAATTTGTGTGGTCGTGACTGGGATTGACTTGTTTATCGCGATCGGGAGCTGAAAAGTCAAGTTATTCACGAACAGCTAACTGTGGTGGGGAAGTGGCGCTCGGTTGAAGAGCAGTGTATCAAACTGATCGTGATATACACTGGTTAATTATTAGTGTCGTAATACGCGAATACGACCATATAAATATGCAAGCTGCGTAACTTCACGCATTCGCAGCGAAACTGGGTGCTTTTCAAATTTACTGAATTATTTCAAATAAACATTTATGTAATATCAATTAACTGAATAATTTCCAGACGATTTATTAGTTCGGACAATGAATATTTGTTGTCCACGGGAAACTTAGATTTATCCAAATTGTTTATGTTTACTTTCTTAGTAATATCGATACAAAATTTATCGAGATATCATGGATATTATGCAATAGAAAATGTTATGACAATAATATGAAAAAATATTTATTAAATTATATATTAAATATATTAAATTAAATTAGATATGAAAAATCATAGTTATCAAGCACAGTTGTAAAATATCGAATGCACTAATTTATACTAATAGAAAATAATTTATGAATTGGAAGGTAGTGAATTGACATATATTTAGACAATGTTTTTGTCATTTAAAAGTTCTTTTATTTTTGTTTAGTAATACAATTGAACATCAGAAAATAGATTCGTAATAAATTTTTAAAAATGTTAAAATATTTATCTCAAATAAGTAAGGATTGATGCAAACAAACGCGAACAATAATTTATTCGGGTCTTCGTCTTGTCTTAGGAACACAGATTACTAAAACTGTTATTTACTTTATCCAAAGAAGACAGTGAATCTTTAAAATTCGGCTTAAGGTTTCGGATGTTCTAGCTTATTGGACACGTCATCTAATCCTACTACCGAAATGGTTAGCATACGAAATTTTCTCCCTTAGAAAATTCAATTTGTAACTGAATATAAATGTTCCTAATTAAAAAAAAATTATGAAGCATTCGAATCTTTTTGATACATACAATAAATAATTATAAAGAAATAAAATTGATTAACAATGATCAAAAGTGAGAAGTCATAATCGATTAATCATAATCAATCACTTTAATCTGGTATATAATAATACCGTTTGTTTGTACAATTAAATAATTATAAACGAACGTTAAACTCTCAGCGACAGATAATCAGTAACGTATTGTTCATTATTTATGCAAATTGTTATTCCAAGCTGTGAATAATGAAACACATTAAACAAATATTCACAAAACCCAGTTCTGTTTTATTAGACAACTAAATTTACAAAACACAGATTAATTCCTCTAATCAGTCAATCCCCAAAGAAATCACACAGTATGTATCTACTTTCCAATTCTCTTCTATCAAAAATTCTACTTCTATAAGAATTATCCAAGATACCGACCCTAAATCCTGATCCAAAGTTAATTGCTCGTATAGTTTCTCCAAGTTGGAAAAATTAGACTACCAGGGTCTACCACCTAAAAAATCTTCCTACCTAGAGATTAGACACCTCAAGTGCCGTTCTCCGTGGTCAATTCAATAGCAAGTTTTAAGAGGATAAAGTAACTTTTGTCCCTTTAATGGTTCAGATTGCCATTCGCGTTAATGAAAATTCATATTGTCAGCAGGGAGTTAATATTTTCAATATTATTCATATTTTCATCAATACACTTTATAAACAAAATGTAGCCGATATTTCTGGTGGCACTAACCTAGCCATCAAGTCGTGAACAGTACACCAAGCTCGGTGTCCATTCCGCTTAGAGGACGAGCCCACAGGAACAAGATCTCCTGCCAAGGTAAGGTGGAGCCGTTAGTTGGCACGTGTCGGAGATTAAAGCTCAACAAGAGACTCTACCCTTAAGTCGGCTGAAAAAGCGAAGGAGATTACCGGGAAGGAGATACCGGTCGCTTCTCTCTTCCCGATAGCGTAGGTCGAGCCACTGCGGCGGCAGTGGCGATGATGATGAACCGTCTGCTCGTCTTCTCTCGCGTAAATCCTTGGGGCCGCGGGCACGGGGCGCGTGAGCGTGCCACGAAAATGGCCGCGCGCGTGTATGCGTGACCGCGTTTCCCTGTGTATGGGAATGCGAGGGAGTCGAATGCGGTCTTTAGCCGGTCTTTAGTTTCGAGTAAGCGACCGTCGAAGATAGAGAGGACTCTCCCCCGACTTATCCTAGCGGGCAGCGGGTTTCCTCTTCCGGCTTAACTCTTCTTCGGCCCTTGGTCCCGCGCTACCCACGGAGCCGCGCTCCGCCCTCGGATCCGCCAGTTCGTCGCACCCTTCCGATCGGACCGGATCATCGTCGATCCTGAATGATACTTCCACGATCTGATATAAGGAATCGCTGCGAACATCAGGAACCGATCCACTCAGCGTGTCGTCTTCTTTTCTTCATTGATTTGAAGTATTGCCGCTACAATTGGGACTTTGAATATCATTCTGGCAACACGAAAAATTGGAATTCCGAATATTATCCTGGCGACGCGGAGGATTGGGATTTCGAATACTGCGCTGGTGACGCGGAAGATTAAAAGAGTTTACCAATGAGTTTTGCGCCCGATAAAAGAAACACTTGCGAAGAATGGGGAATATTTCACGCGACGTCGCGTCTTTCATTCCTTTTTATGTTAGTTTGAATAATTAACGTATTAAGTAGGTTTGAATGGGAAAGGAGAATCGATTCTGCGTTATTGTCAGTGATTTCTGCGTGAAGATCGAGCACCGACTTTTCGGTTCACGGCGTCTACGCACGGAGAAACGGATTCATTGGACCAGTACGATGAGGACGCGAAGAGACGCGTTATTCGTGGTTCTTTTGCATTGATTTGAACGTTTCGCGCATCGAACGCGTTGGAATCGGGATTTCGAAGGATTCGATCAGTGCGATGGATAATTGAGGAGATCTGTGCCGTCGTTTGAGGATGTGAGTTCCTTCGATCTGTTGTTATCGCTTATCTCTCGTTTCGTTGTGCTTCGAATGGGTGATTTGAATTTCTGAAAAATCCGAAGATTGACAATGGAGCATGAAGCAAAGTGCGGGATAACGGGTGCACGTTAAGAGAAGAGCGCATTAGAACGTTGGGAGATCTTTTTCTGGAACCGGGGGTGGTTTCCCTCCATTTTGGTTTCGCCGAGGAGCAATGGAACGACGCAGAGTACCGAGAAGGAGAGGCCTTTCCTCCGCAGAAAATCGAACTGGTAAGTAAACGAGTATTTGCATGCGAAGTATTGTAACGAAAATGTTGACATTTATTTTTCAGTTGCATTTAAATTGAAGAAAAATCCCTGCGGTTCGTGTTTTGGGAAACGTTAGACGCTAGCGTTGAAATTTAAGGAACGAGCAATCTCGAATTATTGGAGTTTAAATTAATAACATGAAAATATGAACATAAATATGAGATAAATAAATAGATAATAAATAATGAGAAATAGAAAAAGAAATTTCGAAAACGAACGTTTTGAAAGTTGTCGCAGTAGATCTTCACCAAGCGCGTAAATGTAGATTATAAATTGCGTCTATATTTTATGAATTTTTGAAACTGAGCGTTTTCATTACGACATGTTGTACTTATTTATTTACTTACTCGTTAAATGTATAATTCGCATAATTCCGTGTGCGAAGATAAGATATGGATTTATCGATACACTGCGGATCTTCATGCAAAAGCGCATTCTTTTGAAGTAAATATTGGAAAATAGGAAGCAAACAGAAACTTGTGTCTCTCTCGGTGGATTCTGTTCTGTGAAAATTAAGATGCAAAGTTCAATGGATTATGTTTCTTTATTTCATATCATTTTGGCGCAGGAACCATCAAAGGAAGTTGTAATGTACATTCTTTTCGTTAAAAAGATAAAATTAAAATAAAAAATAAAAAGAATAAAATATTTTTGATTGAGAAAATAAAGTATCTTACAAATTAATGGTTAACTTCAGATGACTTAATAATAATTATTTTTTAAGAAATATTACATGAATTAACATTGAAGAAAATTCAATGATCTTGACATTTTGAAAGACATTATTTTGAAATAAATCCTTTTATTGCAGTTCTATTTTTCTTCTAAACAAATATATTTCTTTTCCATCTTTTCGTGTCATTCAAAACAACGGCTGTATTTTAGGTTGTTTTCTTAGATGACTCACCCTGTATACCTCCTTCAATTGTGTGACACAATGTTCTTTTTTGTTGAATGTAAGTGTATTTTTTCTTGTACATTCCAGCTGACATTAAAATGCATTTGAAGGTGTACAATATTATAACATTGACATAACCTTTGACTCCCAAAATTACAGTCAAACATAAGATTTATTTCTATCGAGGTCGTGGAATTCAGTGACGACAGATAAGAACCGTAAAAATGACAGTGGAAAAGTCGTAGAAATTTGGAAAAGCCAAAAGAAATATGATTATGGGATAAAAATATTGATATCGTTTGAATTAGATATAAGATATTTTAGTTGACACACTCTACATTCTTCCTGTTGTATTATAATCTATCATATTCATCATAAAGTGATTAACAAAGTGCAAATATAAAGAAGAAATATTAGAGACAACAATTTCTTAATCTGTTCACCATTTATAATGGTTGTTAATTACTAACATTAAACAAATTATTGAAAAGCCATTCTATGGGGTTCTATAGGGTATCCTATAATTGATGATGCAACTGGGAAAAAATGATTGTTTTACAAGGAAATATTTATCATAGTAATTATAAAATACATGTACCATTAATTTTAAAAAGATTTTTGATGAAAAACGCTTTGATATTCTCAAAGAAGGTTCAAATTTAGAATTGATTTCCCTCAACTAGAAATTTTTAATAAAAAAATTTGAATCTATTATTGTTGCTCTTTATTCTACTACTTCTAAGCTTGAAATCATCTTTCTTCGAGGAGTAATAAAATGTAATCATGATATACGTAAGTTATATTTAATCGAACGATAATAATAGAGAACATAGAATCTCGAGTATATTACGCAACAACAATTTCAAAACAAAAGAACCTAATCATAGAATTATTAATTGCTGAGCGCAATTACTTATGAACGTGATACAAGAATATCGTAAAGAGAATATAAGTATTCCTTGTGAATTTAAAAGTAGTTCTTTTATGATGTAATTACTGTAATTATAACAGCTTTTAAAAGGTTGCTTTGTGTTCTAGAGTTACATTAGGAAATATTATTAAATACATTTGAAAGTAATTTTGAACACAATGGATGATTGATAAGAAAATTATTATACTAATAAGTAGATTATAAATTTGGATACATTTGTAATATTTCTTAACATTCAATGAACAAATAAAAAAAGAATTTTAATACAATTAAATGGTAGATTTATGTTATGATTACAATAGAACTTCTAGTATAAAAAATAAAATAATATGCAAATTTTCTTTTCACAAATTAGTGTCTAATATTGGAGGTTAGCATTAATCTTCGTAGTACAATAATAAGATTGTTATAATTTCGTACAGATTTATGTAACTTCATTCGATTCTAAATTTCATCTTTAAATGACAAGAATATCATTGTATCATTGACAAAATTTTAGTTGCAAGTGATTAAACGATTCTATCTGTATGTTAAGAAGAATAATATCTTTGTCATCTAATGAAACCATCTAGGCTTATGTAATAGACGATTAGCTTTAGAATTATGAAAATAGAATCCATTTCACTACTCAGCGGTTACTATGTTTCTGTTCTTTGTGCTACCATTGCTTCATGTACCATTTTGACTATGTTCTAATATTCTTGATGTTATTTAATTTTCTTGATAAGTTTTATGATATTTAGATGTAATATTTCACGATACTTTACAATAGATTCAACTTTTCAGTCAACTTTTCACTAGAGTTTTATGTTAGCATCTCCACTGGAACAAATGCTAAGCACATCGTAAAAAACAAGACCAGCTGAAAAACTGACCCTGTTTTTGTGACTTGTGACTTATCTTTAATATCGACATGTTCGACCTTCCGATAACATTAACATAAGACGATAACCACGTGTCCGAGTCCTCCGGCAATAATAATGGAGTTAGTTTTCGAAGACTGTAGCATCAAGTAAACAAATAGAGATTTAATTCAATATCTATAAGAGTATAAATAATGCAATCATACAAATAATCGATCCCATAAGTACCAGTACACAAATTTGATATAGTAATAGGAAATTTATTTAAGATTTTTAACATTGATCTCCAGTGTATACTTGTAACGAAATTTATAATATTCATAATTACAACAATCGTAAAAGGTTTAAATATAAATTTCAGGAAATTTATTAGAAGAAATTGAACACGTAACTGTGTATGAACAGTTTAAATTTAATTTTCCATATTTTATTTCGAAAGTATTTTAAACGATAAGTTGATTTAATGAAATTATACTAGTAACTTATGATTACAAATTGTAATGATAATTTAATTTATTAATTTAATCATGAACTGCAGTAAATGTCGCCATAATATGGTTGGGATTTATTGTATATACTTAGTAAATCGTTTCGATTGTAAAACAGAGTAAATAATATCCATCGCAGATAATATGAGTTTCCATGAAATGAGACAGTGTTAAGATTATTATGGATCTTCTGCTTGTTTGGTATCAAGTTGCAAACAAATAATATTGATGACACAAAGGAATTGCAAACACATTACTCATCGTTACGATAATCCTGCGAATGTCTCTACTCACTCCATTATATTTTTGCACTTCTGCCTGGGTAGACCCAGAATTACCTGAGTGATCCTTTAAGAGTTCAATTGCACAAGCAACCTTAAACATCGTTGAATTCAAGACTCTTATGCAATATCAAGCTTTTCGAAGAAAATTTCAAAAGCTGTACGTTAAACAGAAATTTTTGAAATGATAGAAAATTTTTTAGGAAGTTTTACTTTTACCCTGTCTCTATGTTTTTCACGGGAATATTTCCTTTTAAATCATTTAAGTCTGCTGAAAACCAGTTTAAAAACTTAAACTGCTTGTAACTTTATATTGACTATATTTATTTATTATCATAATAGGACTTCATATTACTTATTTTATTAAATGTGAACGACTTTAAAGATGTTCCTTTTCAGAACTTGACTTCAAGTAAATACTATGTCTTGAAGTATAATATCCTGGACAATGAACTGACCTTTAATTCTAACTTTTCATAAAATAACGCTGTATCTCCTCGAGCCTACAATTATTTCTTCAGAAATGAAATATGATCAACAGTCTTCATACATTATTTAACGAATCAAGTTTAATTATGATATTATTAATCTACTAAAGCCAGATTGTTCAAACCGCATGCTATGAACAGTACCTTTAAAAAATGCTCTTGTTACATTCAAAACACGAACACAAAGTACTAACTTTTAAGAATTGATTAGACTGTCATTACATTGCCAAAAGGTCACGTTTATAATTTGTCCGAAAAATTTCGGAAAATTCTAAGCATATGCATGAGAATTGAATTTACCACACACGTGTGCCATCTTTTTATCCAGAAGCATACGTATCATGAACGATCTCGTTTCACGAGGCACGGTTCGGTTGCGAATCGTGTATTTCAGAGGATGAACCGCCCGCGCCTATAATGCCTCTATTGTCGTCTCTGGCCTAAACCTTGGATTTGCAAATAAACGGTGGCTGAATACATTTATCGCCGACAAATGTTCTCCGAGGTTTCCAAAAATATTGAAACTGTGATAATGTATTATTATTGAATACATCAGTTAGCGATCCACCATTTTCTGTTGAATCGTTTTTCAAATTAAACACACATCTCATACCCCGTACCAAGCCGAAGTATTCAATTCAGAATGTGTAAATTGTCTGTTCAATTTATTGAAACAGAATTATAGGTACAGACAGGATGTTGTGTATTTAATCAATCAATTTTTGAAAGAAATCAATACTGGAATTTTTTTACGTAACCAAAGTCGCCATTAAACACTAGAACTATCAGACAGTTCAAACTAACCTATTCTTGACTTCTTCTTTTTGCAGTTATTGGAAAGATAACACGATTCTCTGAGAAACTACTGAAGAAATTGGTTTAGCAATACGTGAACACAATTGTAAATTAATAGAAATTTCAATAGATGTACTCTGACAGTTCCTACAGAAAAATTTCAAATACTCAGTTTGACTGCTCGGCAGTTTTAGTGTTAAATAGTGTACAATCTTCATTGAAACAATTTTATTCTGAACCAAACAATATTCAAGATAACGAGAAACGTAGTTTCCTTGGGTATAAAACGGTTCTCTTTAAAAAAACACTTGAAATCCATGCCATGTATAAATTTCATTAAGAAACAGTAAGGTTATCCCGATGCGTGCGTCGCGCGAAGATGAACAATATGAAAGTGGGATGCAGCTCTTACAACAGATTTTTATCCTTTCACATTCCTTTGGGTTTACGAATTATTAACAGTTTTTAAGACTAAGTTCTTCGTACTTTTGCGTCGAAGCATGCATGATATCGCGGGTCATCTGTTCAGCCATCGACAGTTTCAACGTACCGCGAGTAACTTACAAAGGACAGAGGTCATCAACGACGTAGGTAATATCTGATCATTTCACGAGTAATGTCGCCCGTTCAAGCCAACGATTAATGCAAAATGTTGACACTTGCATTTATTTTTAATCGCTGGTGTATTGTCCATTGTTTTTTCATCATTATTCTCCATTATCTAAATAATTTTTTGAATTCCTTTTGAGAGAACTTTTACCTGCACTAGTCATTATTATCTAGTTATTTAATACTAGATTTACGGACATTTCCTGTACAGTTTGTTCTATCATTCTTAGAAAAGTTAATATTCTTTCATTTAGATGTTGGAAATTGGAGGTTTAAAAGTAGATGATTAGGATACATATTTGCGTAATTGCAACAATCAAAATCAGCTCGAACATTTGTTTAAATAGTGTTTATCCAATATGAGCCGAATTGACTCGTTCCGTAAATATAGTATTAATCGTTTGAGTGTCACGGATCTTCGCAAAAATTCTGTCGAAGAAATTGAATAACAGTTTTCTACTTTCACGTAAAGCAATTCTAAATGGCGCGATCGATCCATTTTTCTACTTTTAAGGAGGTAATGGAAAAGATATAAGTAAATAATTAAAAGGAAAATACTGGTATTCAAAGTAAAGCACATCTCTGCTTGTTAAGTTAATAACCTTTTTCTTTATAAATACACTTCTTAGATATTTAATATTAACGATCTTTTACATTCTTTAGTAAGTACGCGCTACCATAACATTTCATTTGCCACGGGCTCTGAATGCTATAATTTAACGAACATTGTTTCCAAAGTTACTGACATTTTTAGACAGTGTAACGGAAAAATGTGATCACACCGCTTGCCAGTGAAACGGTCGACGATTCAAAAATGTTGCAATAATTGGAATAAGCGATAATCGTTTGGTTCAAGGTCAGGGGAATACGGTGTATGAGGTAAGAGTGGAAAAACGAGCATCATTAGTGAATCACTGGTCTACCATGATAACACTTTATCGGTCATGGAAAAAAACAACTGGAAAAATCAAAAATTACTATTAGAAACTCATTTGCGTCTATCTGTTCCCTTGACCTTGCAGTTATCAACAACCATTTACTTCGAGCATTACAATTTTCTTTTTTGGAATTAACATTTGAAATCAGTATTGAACGATTGAATTCCAAATATCGAACATCATTTCTAGCAGGAACTTTTTTTATATCTCCACTGTACATTACAATTTGTCCAGGATGGACATTTGGTAAATTGTTTTAGTAGTATTTTGGGATGTAGCACGTAGATGGTTTCTCAGCAGAATACATCTATATAGTAATCGCCCTTTTTGTCACTTTGACATGGTTGACTTTTAGTTGTTTTAAGGTGGAATTCTCGTTAGCTATATTTTTCGTTAGGTATATGAAAGATTCGATGATTTGAGCTTCAATGTATACTAGTGGAGGTTTTGATTAAGGTTTTTCAGTTATCGTTGTGGTGCTTTCTGTAGTTTTCCCGTTCATTTTTATCAGAATGCCGAACGGATTTTCAACCGGTATGCTGTTTAGCCATTTGTTATGCTGCGTGTCTATTTCATCTAATAAATTAACAGGTACACAGATTTTTCGTTTCTTCGTTGTATCGCTTTTGCTGCTTGTAACAATCAATTCGTCAGTTTCCATTAGGTTTGTCGTATTTATTGAATTTTTATTTTCGCTTTTTTATCTAACAGAGTAGTTCTCTCCACTTTTGATAAGTTTTAGCTGGAGGTTGCCTTTTTGTACCATTTGAAGTTTGAACTTGCCAAACGGCAAATTTTTCTGTCACTTACATTAGCTGCGAGTGAGTGGAACAGAAGTATACAATACAATGATAACCGATAGCTTCACGTAAACACGTCTGTTCACTTTGGATTCTCGGGTGAGACTTCTAGCAGGAATAAAATCAATAAGAATCATTTTGCGCCCATTAATATTTCCATTAATATTTTTAAACCAACGTTTTACATTTTTATATATAGTAAAGTACTAAAAAAGATGTTATCAATGTGCAA